TAATGGGATTGCCAAAGACGCATTCCAAAAGCTAGGCAGCGTATTACGAGACAGGAAGATTTCTTTGTACAAAGAAAAGAGTACTTATCTGCTACGTGACGTCTTCCCCACTTTACGGCAGCGAATGTTGGACGGTCTCCTCAAAGATGAAGAGACTCGAGGCAATGGAGGTATGGTTTACAGAAGGCTGTTAAAGATATCATGGACCAAAAGTGTGAGCAACGATGAGGTTTTGGAGAAGATGCAAACAAGGAGGAGGCTTATAAATAAACTTCAAGAATAGGCAGCTTAGGTTTCTGGGATACCTAATGAGAAAGGAGGGCCTGGAGAATCTGATACTCACAGGTCGAATAGAAGGCAAGAGAGACAGGGGAAAGCAACGTATGACATATCTAGCGGGCTTAAGCTAGTGGATGACAGAACATGGACTGGGGGGAGGTGGCAGAGGGACGAAACTTATTGAGATCTACAAGGGATAGGAGAAAGTGGAGAGCCATGATCGCCTACGTCCTGAAGGGACACGGCACCTAAAAAGAAAAAATGATGATTATGTCTCTACGATTTTTTTGTTTATTTTTAAGATTAAAGTTCACACAATAAGGCTCAAGAGCAGCTCAGTGGTTACTGAATGATCTGCAAGTTATGAAAGTTAGTGGAAAAAGTAGAAAGTGGAGATCTTTTTCTTTTTTTTAAGCATTTCACCCCAAGCAAGGCGGGAAGCCACGAGGACGCAAGGGGTTACAGAAGATTTGGAGCAAGATCAGATAGGAGTGATAGAAGAAAGGATGAGGAGAAGGATAGTGGATAGATCAAGGAAACTGGAGATGTCGATTGACATTACATTTGAATAGTTGGAGATGATAGCTCTCAGGGAAACTGGAATAGAGAAGGGAGTTCCACAGGCGAGAGGTGCGAGAAATGAAGCTATTAGAGTAGAAGAGACGGCTACATTTAATAGTTTCGACAGTGAAAGGGTGAGAGCGGGATGCCAGCCTCGTAGGGCGCTTGAACTCATGAAGTCTGGGAACCAGCGAATGCATCTCCTCGGAGCAATTACCATAAAAGTATTTGTAAAACAGACAGAGAGAGGCGACGGCCGTCTGTGAGAAAGTGGCTCTAGACGAGATGCCAGAACAGGGCCAATTATATTGCATATCCGCCTCTGGAGCCTATCAAGATACCCGAGGCAAACAGAAGGGGCTCCAGACCATATATGGCATCAAAACTCCACGCAAGGGCGAATTGTTGATTTGTAGATCTGAAGGATCGATTCTGGGGAGAAAAATTTCCTGGCGCGGCACAGGAAGCCAACTTTCCTAGCGGTGGACGAAGCAATTGACTCAATGTATTTGTTCCATCTCAGGTCAGCAGTCAACGTGAGACCGAGCAACCGCAGAGAGGTGCTCTCGAGAAGTTGAGCGCCAGACATTCTAATGGAGGGCAGGGAAGGATGTCTGTGGTAAGATCAAGTTGATAGTGAATTGATAACGATTTACTCAAGAGATTGTATTATTTTTCTGGTTAGCATTTCTTATGAAGGATCTTTCTGATACGAACACCATGGAGTCCATATGCCATCGTCCACAAGGCCGCGAAAACGAGTTTTATCCCTGTCAAGATTGGACAGAATAGATTTATCTGACACTTTGACATTGATGAGTGGTGTATCCGTGAAACTATGAATCGGTCGCAAGATAAGTCTTTATTAATTATTTGACTCTCTCTCTCTCTCTCTCTCTCTCTCTCTCTCTATATATATATATATATATATATATATATATATATATATATATATATATATATAAAATGAAATAAAGAAACCGGAAAATATAACTCCGGGTATAAAAAATAAAATTTTAGTGAGATTGTATGTGTGAGCGGGGGAAACAAGTGTGAGAGGGAAATGGCTGAAAGATCATCCCTACCTTCATCTTTAGGCATTCCAGTTCTTCTTTCTTCTGTTGCACCTCTCTCGAGAGCTTTCATTCATTTCCCCTCTCGCACTTGTTTCCCACTCTCACTAAAATTTTATTCAAAAAATATTTATTATTATTTGTATTATTTTTATTTAAAATTATTTTCCCGGAGTTATATTTTCCGATTTCTTTTTGAATTTCTAGGTCTGATGAATTGGATCATGATTACAATTCCAATCTAATAAATTATAACCACAGAATATCAGTGTTTAAGCCTTTTATATTATATTCTTACTCTGTCCTGGACATTGAGTTCTACCTGGATTCGATTGAAATTTATATATATATATATATATATATATATATATATATATATATATATATATATATATATATATATATATATATATATATATATATATATATATATATATATATATATATATATATATATATATATATATATATATATATATATATATATATATATATATATATATATATATAATATTATCAATATATATATATATATATATATATATATATATATATATATATATATATATATATATATATATATTACAGTGAGGTTCACCATGTACAAAGCCCGGGGGCCAATGGAATTAAAGGTTTACAGTGTAAGAAGCACAATTTGTGGATAGGTCGGGAAGATAACGGTTTACTCTCGACTTGAACAGGTTAAGATTGTAGTGATCGGGGAAACATTCAGCTAGGCGTCGATTCCACAGGATAGGCGTTCGCATGAAGAAACTGCTAGAGTGGAGTTTACTTCTCATCATTGGAATACGTAGGGAATATATATATATATATATATATATATATATATATATATATATAAAGAAATTTTCTATTGTCCAGTTTCCTTTGTCCGAATACCATTCGTCAAGCCTACCGGGGTTAACTTTAAAATTTAACGCGTATTTTTTCCAGTTGGAAATTCACATAAAATTCATTACCCTTACTAGCCGCTCATCTAAATATTTTTTTTCATGAAGTCGGCACTATCTTTGTATCCACAAAGGATTACAAATGGAATTTTTTTAAATATGATCCAGGAAGGGTCCATTGAATTTCAAGTTGAATTCTTTTTCTAGGAGGAGAAGTGGGAATTAAGGAAATCGGTCATACGGTACTTTTTTCAAAGATCAAAAGATGTGGAGTGATGGCTTTCGAAAGGCCAAGTTGACATTCACAAATGGGGCGATGTGGAAAGGAACAGACTGAACGACATTAACGCAATCTGCGATTCGTTAATTTATTCCGTGCAAACATCTCCAGAAAAAGAGGTAGGAATATTATGTTACCGCAATTATTTCCGGGCCTCTCCAATATTTAGTTTCACCAGTTCGGACCTTTACAACTAAAACCCGGAATGCTACATACACAGAAATAATTCTTCCTCAAACACTTCGTATTTCACTGGTAAGAAAAAAAGTGCCACTCGCACAGCTATTTCCAAAGAACTGTTGGTTTATGGAACAAATTCTGAGATGATGCTTCGCAGATATATAAAATCTTAACCACTTAAAGCCGACCGCTATCAATGCTACATATGCTCAGGTCAGACGCTATCAATGCTACATATCCTCAGGTCAACCGATATCTATTATCCATATCCTCAGGTCAATCGATATTAATGCTCCATATCCTCAGGTCAAACGATATCAATCTTATAAATCCTCAGAATATGCACATCTGTGAACAAGGTTTCTGATTGGGAGATTGGAGGTTGTGAAGAGCGTTAAACTACTTCGTAATTGTTTTTTACCTCTTTACTTTAACCCGGGCTGATAGCAACTTTTAGGTTACCATATATGGACAAATAGTGAAGCCCCAAAAGACTTATGAAAGTATAAATATACCAATAATACATTTTTATATAAAAATATTACTGACTTATAATAAAATTAAAAACAATAAGTTCTGAAAGAAAAATGACCAACAATATATTTTATAGTATAAGTAACAAAAGTACATTTTATCTGTATCTGAAGCCATAAAATTCTGATCCTTTTTTTTTTTTTTAGATTTCTGCATTAAATAACCCACAGATATGTTGATATGCCTTAAACGATCAACTAACAAACCAACTCATAATATACACTTTTCACTCCCCCCTTCCACTTTCCTTCCGCACTTACAACAGTCTCAATCAATAATATTCTAACTTGAGTGGCTGCTGGGCCTTATATTGGGTGAACTAATACAAAAATAACGGTGAGAGTTTGTCTCCCTTAAAAATCGGAGTCGACGAATAGCGCGGATGTAAAATGTAATCAGTTATCTCACTTAGGCCTAATATAGTACCAAGAAAAATATGACAGGAATATTATGTTGCGCCAATTTTTTAAATTATGTACTACTGTTTGATTTCAGAGTCAGAATTGTAAATCCTTGCTTTTATCCGACATGAAACAGGGATCACGAGATTCATTAGGAAAAGCAAAAAACACTACGATGTTAGCCACGAAGTGGGACTAGAATTTACTGAATTTATAATGAATTTTCTTTACTAATGGATTGAATCCTCGGGTTACGACAGCCTCGAAATACGAAGATTCGTGGTTACGATGCAATCTCCATTAATCTTCTTTCGGCTTAGACTGTTTGTCGCGTACACAAGACAGAGTGGGTCAGATTTTTGCGGAAAGTTATCTTGGATTATTGCGCATTGGTTCTCTTTCGTTTTTCTTGTGTTTCTGGAAACTTATTGCTGGTCATTATGACTCCCAGACATAGTGTAACCTTTTCTGGTGGCGGGGCTGCGAAAAAACGGAAACCCATCACCATGGATGTGAAAGTAGGCATTGGTAAAGGCTCTGAAAAGGGAGAAATAGCAACGAACATTGGCCAGTTTCTTGACTTAAGTCGTTCAATTGTCCTCGTTTAATATATATATATATATATATATATATATATATATATATATATATATATATATATATATATATAAGTATGTAAGCAAATATATGGATATAGATCCGACAGTATGAAGAAAAATGTACGGAAAAACAAACAAAAATCCTAATATGTAACTACGCTGTTTTAATGTTAATATAAGCTAAAAACACCGGTTCTCGTTCGATCACCGAAGTTAAGCATCGTAGAGCCAGGTCAGTACTTAGATGGGGGAGGGGGGGTGTAAAACGGTAGTGTCAGAGCTATGCCGCCCGGAACTTCGTTCCTGGTAGGGCCATCCAAGGCGGACAGGTCTGACACACACGCCGGCTAACAAGGGCTCTGGTGAAAATCCAAGGAGCGTCTGCATCGGCAACCGGCGGCTTCTGGTCGTTCCTGTCTCTGCGTTTGTGGGAACCCCTCGGCAAGCAAGAACGTTATTCGAGTAGGCCTGGGTACCCTACTTCTGTAATTTATCCCAAGAATCTTCTTCTCATAACAGGAAGAAGCCGGCTCAATCCGCTCAGGGTGAATGCCGCATCAGTACAGTAGTAGTAGTAGTAATGTTAATATAATGTCAACGTCATTTATCTGTTTTGATTAGTCTTACTCTTATGTCCATCGACTTTTCATGTTGAATTGAATATAGTCTAATGTTAATTATGTTTTATGACTATGTTCTGAAGAAGGTCTACTAGACCGAAACGTCCGACGTTGACATTATATTAACATTAAAACAGCATAATTGCATATTAGGATTTTTGTTTTTTTTTCCGTATATTTTTCTTCATATATAAGTATATATATATGTGTGTGTGTGTGTGTGTGTGCTTTTGTGTGTATATTTACTGAAAAATTATGACATAAGCATGTTATAAAATCACTACAAAAATAGCCATTTTGTTTCAACACTTCTGGTGTCTTGTCAAGTGATGATGTTGAATGCAGAATAAATAGTTTTAAAAAGTTCAAAACTAACAAAACTCAACTTGATATGGTAAAAATGTTACGTAGGCACCAATGACCAATCAAAAAACGAGTATATGATAATTCAAAAAACTTGTTACAGTGGATAAAGAAATTAGAAATTATTATAATTTATAATTTCACAATGACATTAAAATTATTATATATATATATATATATATATATATATATATATATATATATATATATATATTGAGTTGACTTGTAAGTGATAAGAACATTTTCTTGTTAAATTTGGTGAATTCCTGAGAAAGAAAGAAAAATAAACTCCTGTTATTTTTTTCATCCCCAGATTTGTTTCATCCGTTTACAGAAAGAGAGACAATTTCTTACCTTTCTTCATCTCATCTACTGAGAGCCAATGACATCACTGGCAATGAATATACAAGCAGCTTAAAACAATTTCATTTCATTATATGTATTACATTTATGTTCTTCGTTTTTCTTTATTATTATGTAAACATATATCGTAGAAATGTGTAAAAAATTGATGTAGGGTCCGACTTACACGGAGAATCGCTTTACGACCCATCATAGGAACGGGACTCTGTCGAGGAATCACTGTATTATGTTTTTACAGACAGAAACAAAACTGCATAGAGAATGTAATAAATGAAAGCAGGAAAAACGCTAAATCATCGATTTCAAGAAGATAGAATCTATGGTTGTCACTAAGAGGAAAAGCCGAAGAGGCAACTACAATTAGAAATGCTGGAACAAAGCAAGTACAGAAAAGTGATTATCAGAAAAGTCGGAAAATGCATTACCAAAATTGAAGGCTCATTTTCTACAGGTTAACACTGAGAAATTTTTCATATATATATATATATATATATATATATATATATATATATATATATATATATATATGTGTGTGTGTGTGTTTGTGTGTATTTGTGTGTGTGCTTGTGTGCGAATTTACTAAGAACCATAAAGGACTGGAAATTGTGAAAGTCACGATACATAGAAGAATAAATGCGATATTTATATTATAAATATAGAAATGGAATGTATATATATATATATATATATATATATATATATATATATATATATATATATATATATATACATACATACTCACATATATATATATATGTATATATATAATAACATAAATATAATTATGCCTATATAGATAGATATATACATATATATATATATATTTATATATATTATTTGAAAGAATTTGTCAGAAATTTTTCATTTATATATATATATACACACACTCACACACACACATATATATATAATAATATAAATATAATTATACTTATATATATATATATATACACACACACATATATATATATATATATATATATTTATATATATTATTTGAAAGAATGTCTCTGAGAATTTTTTTCATTTTATATATACACACACACACATATATTTACATAATATAAATATAATTATCCTTACACATATATATATATATATATATATATATATATATATATATATATACATACATATATATATATTTATATGTATTATTTGAAAGAATTTGTCTGAGAAAGTTTTCATTTATATATATATATATATATATATATATATATATATTTTTTTCCATTTATATATATATATATATATATATATATATATATATTTATATATATATATAACAAAGCAGACATTGGTTAACATTCCAAATTGAGTCCTACCAACACTAAGTCTGCAAAAAGTAAAATCTCCAAACGACAAAAGAAATAGAAATCAAGAACAAAAAATAATATTAAGAAGAGAAACGAAACATAAAAAAGCTAAGAAAAAACAAAAGAGTAAAGACAGACTCCTACCCAGCTAATAAAAGAAAGTGCTCAATACTTTTGACAAAGAAACTACCACATAACAATATACACCGTCTTTCACGTGGAGAGATTGTTGGACGAAAAGAACTAATAAACGGTGTGTACCAGCAAAATTGTCCATATCGTGTAACAGCAAAACTGTCCAAATGTTACATTATGCTTTGAACCGTTATATCTTAGAAATGATTAAAGTTATCTTACTGGAATTTCCTGAGGTTTTTAAAACACTGTTATTGGACTCTACATTGAACAATAAGAATGTATAATTACTCTCCATGCTTAAGAGAAGAAACAGTGATGAAATCGATCTGAAACGAAAATGACGTTCATCATTAATTAATCACAGTTAAAGATCGGAAACTCATGAAAGATTGAAAGAAAGTTCAAATTCATGTATATATATATGTTATTTCAGGATCCAGTTTATTTAAGATGATGTTCGCCTTCTCTAACCTAAGTTTCTGTCCTAGAATAAACAAGGTGGTTCACAAGTTTCTCGCACGGTTTTATTTTGAAGTCTTTTTTTACTGCTCTTTGTACTGTTATAGCTGAAACTCAATTCTAGCTTGCCAAACGTCTTATGGATTGAGTTGCATGTTTTCTGTTTGATCTCTTTGGCGCTAAGTTAAAATGATTATCCTTCTTCCTGTTGTGACATCCTGATCTAGTTTCCCTTTCTTGGTTCTTGAATTGATTTGAAGATGGAAGCCAGAGTATGAAGTTTGGTACAATTGCTGAAGGCAAGAATGATTTTTTCTCTCATTATTTTTCAGTTAAAAAGACAGTGTGCCTACATTAAAAAGGCCTTGTGCCACATTCGATCCCCGTGGGTGGATTGATAAATACCATTTATATGTGTGTTTGTGCACACGCGGGCGTAAATACGATTTGATAGGTACAAATAAAAGGAATGAAAGTAAATAGATATTTATAGAGAGAATACTATCTGTTAAAAATGAAAGCTTTAAACAGATTCCATGTTGAGCAATGTCTGAGAAATTATTGTCGATCTTAGAAATAATTCGACTTTGTTATCAAGGAAATTAATCTCCCTCTTTTTTTATTTCTACAAGTCCCTATTTTTTTTTGTCACATTCAGCCATCGTTGACATCTTGAAAACATAAAGAATCTTAGCATTAAGTAATATTAAACCCATATTCCGCACCTACTCTCAAATAAAATGGGATATCTTTTAATCTTATCTACATATTTAAAACATCTTTCTCATTCTATATATATATATATATATATATATATATATATATATATATATTCGTGTAAAAGTTATATTTAGTATGCTACATGTGTTTCTTTAGCAGTCAAATCAAAATCTACCGAAATTCTGCCTTCCAAACGGATAGTACCCTCAATGAGAAGAAGACGAGAGGTAACTTGTCAGTGCTAAATATGAACCAGACAAGAAGATATCCTTTAATATGGACAGTGGGACGTGAACATTCAAAACCCGGTACAAAAAATAAATAGATTGAAAGATCAGAAGCTGACGCACAATGATGAAATGATGAATTTTCATATGAATGATGCATCTAACATCTCTCAATATTTACAACAGCATGTCGGGCCACATTCCTAATTTATAAAATTTCTTGTCCAAAATACATCTATACTATTGCAGGAAAAATTCTTGAACCTATCTACATTAAAAAAAAATAGAAACCAACCCTTCATAAAATTAATTATGAATACTTCACAAATGTTTTAAAATGTTTACAATAAACTGTTTAAAATATTAATGTCATAACTAATTGCTTTAAATAGTTTTTTAAAAAAATATTTATACAACTCAATAACTTAATTATCTCCCTTGATGTTACTGCACATGAATGTTTATATCATAAATTTAAAAATTGTATTTTACGTAAGATTAGAGTTTTTCACTTCACAAGTAAAAAATTTAATTTTTAGATGACAGTAAATTTGTCTTAGCAAAATACAAGATCCTGACGATGTGCATTGTGCTAATATCGAAAGTACTCGGAAATAAAATGGATATATATCAACATGGTAATTTTCTTTAATAAAGATATTAAGAAACTCGTCCGTAAAAACGAGAGGATCCTATTAAGAGTAAGTAGACAAAACTTGCCTAAATTTTTGATGAGACATGTCTTTATATATATATATATATATATATATATATATATTCATACACGTTTTATTAAATAATATAGACAAGTGTTGTCTATTTATTTTATGTAAACTCTTTTCATAACGTCTAATAAGTTTAATAACATTATGATTGAACGAAGAAAGAAATTCACAATATTTATCCATATTTTTTTGGGGGGGGGATAAATATTGTGAATTTCTTTCTTCGTTCAATTATAATGTTATTAAACTTATACGTTATGAAAAGAGTTTACATAAAATAAATGGACAACACTTGTCTATATTATTTAATGAAACGTGTATG